GGGGTTAGGGTTAGGTTTAGGATTAGGTTTAGGGGGGTTAGGGTTAGGTTTAGGGGTTAATTTTAGGTTTAGCATTTACAGCTTTTTTCTCCACGCTGTTGTCGCGCTGTGATGACGTCAGCTACACGGTTTCGTCGAGCGCGCTTTAGTCGAACGCGGTTTTGTGGTGGAACCAATCCGAGCAACTGTAAAGTTGTTCTCCTCTCTCTGAAATTGTTTTCTACTCTATACATGCATCACGGGGAAGGCATCCTCAGGGTGCCATGTTGTGAGAGGCCTGTGGCAGATGCCTCACGATTCCCTCACAGCAGGGATGAGTGATGGCCCTACTGCCCTCGAGAAAGGGGCACCTGGAAAAGAGAGCTGAGTCCTCTTCTTAAGTGTTGGGTCCTCAAGTCCTTAAATGGGTCCTTTCCAGGCATGAAATCCGGCAGGTTCTGACAGGTTCTGTAAAACCGGTAGCGGAAATTTTGAGCAGTTCGGAGAACTGGTAGCGGAAATTTTGAGTAGTTCGGAGAACCGGCAAATGCCACCTCTGGCTGGCCCCAGAGTGAGGTGGGAATAGAGATTTTGCAGTATCCTTCCCCTGCCATGCCCACCAAGCCACACCACGCCCACCAAGTCATACCCACAGGACCGGTAGTAAAAAAAAATGAATTTCACCACTGGTCCTTTCCCAATCTTAAAGCAAGCAGATTACTTGGGAACTGTGAGGTGTGAAACATCAGGTCCACACATGAGGTGGTCCAATTAAATTGATTTATTTGCTAAATAGCCTATGCACAGGAATCTTCTTAACTAAAGGATAGCACGTGCTTGGCTTTAGATAAGGGTCAACTGAATTCAAGGGACTCCATTTGTAGCTATGTAGGGATTCAAGCGGAGCCCTCGTTTAACTCCACCTTGGAGTTCTGCTACTACTTCTTCTTCTACAGAGAGGAGATCCTGAATAACAACAGTAACTCCCTGTAAGACTTTTCCAACCGATAGTTGGTCTTTGAGAGCATCCCGGGATGCACCTTCCCCAAAATGAGGAAGATCAGGAGAAAAATAGGTACAGGTGGTCCTCTATTTACAACCATTCAGAGTTACAACAGCAGTAAAAAAAAAAAGAGTGACTTACGACTGGTCCTCGCCTTCCCACAGCCATGCAATCAAAATTTGGGTGCTCAGCAACCAGCATGTATTTATATAGTAGCTGCAGTATCCTGGGTGGCATGATCGCCATTTGCGACCTTCCCAGATGGTTTCAGATTCACTGAATAACTGCACGTGATTCGTTTAATGGCTGCAGTGATTCGCTTTAACATCCGTGGCAAAAAAAAAGATTGCAAAATTGGGTGTTTGACTCACTTAACAACTGCCCTGCTTAATAAAGTAAACTTTGGTCCCAATTTTGGTCGTAAGTCAAGGACTACCTATAGTAGCCAAGGCTTGTAGGTTGTACCTCAGGATGTAAGTAAGAGATTACAAGAAGTCCTCAGGTTATATGGCCCTGCAATACAGGAAGAATGGAGTACAGATAGACCTTGACTTAATATGACCATAATTGAACCCATTGCTAAGCAAGACAGTTGAATGAATTTTGCCCCATTTTTTACCACATTCGTTAAGTGAATTTGCCTTCCCTATTGACTTACCTTGCCCGAAGTTTGCAAAAGGTGATCACATGCCACACGGACACTGCAACCCTCATAAATACATGCCAAATATCCAAATTTAATCACGTGACCATGGAAATGCTAGAATAAGAGCCGAAGCGAAGCAGTGGTTCGAGTGCAGAACTGCAGGCTGCTTCTGTTGACTTGCTAGCTCAAGGTTGACTCAGCCTTCCATCCTTCCGAGGGTGGTGGGTGGTAAAATGAGGAGCCCTCTTGTTGGGGGAGAAATAGGCTGACTCTGTAAACCGCTTAGAGAGGGCTGTAAAGCCGTGACCCAACAAATGCGCGCCCGACAAAACCGCGGCGACAAAACCGCAGCAACAAAACCGCGACGTCGAAAGCGCGCCCACTAAAGCGCGCCCACAAAACCGCGGCGATTAGGGTTTTTAGGTTAGGGTTAGGGTTAGGGTAAGAGTTAGGGTTGCTAACGTTGTTTTCGCGTCCCACTATGTTGTTTGCTGATGGCGCGCTTTTGTCGGCGCGCATTTGTCGATGCGCTTTAATGGGCGCGCTTTTGACATCGCGGTTTTGTCGGCGCACATTTGTCGACCGCGCATTTGTCGGTGAACCCTGTAAAGCACTGCAAAGCGGTATATAAATCTAAGTGCTAATGATCGTAAGTGTAAAAAATGACCATCAGTCGCTTTTTTCAGTGCCGTTGTCATTCCGAAGAGCCACTAAACGAACGGTTTTAAGTCGAGGACTACCTGCATAAGCTAAACTCCCTCGTTCCTTATCTCTTCAGGCTGCAAGAGGCTGTATTGGGTCAATATTCACAGATTAAATAACAGGCGACAGGAGTCCCTGTATTGAGAGACTTTTTCTACAGGTGATTTGACTTGGTGTTTACATAACCAAAACCAAAAATGTTTTTTTTTAATTGTTGTTCACGTTTTAATTGACTTCCTATCTGGAGGAAATGACACCTTGATTTCCATCCAAAGCTTAAAATAGCTGTTGGCAAATAAGACTTTGCTATGTTTCCGCAAAAAAAGAAAAAAACTCATTTTCTAAGCTCCTTCCCGGGGAACCATTTTTCTTCATTTCCCACCTTTGATAACAGGCTTGGCTGAGGTTTCCGAAGGAGAAAAAGAAACTGGATAAGAATCTCCCCTCCCCCTTTTTTTTCCTTAATAGTTTAATCAGCCAGACTTTATTTACATACTTTTGTCAGGGTTCGATCCCGCCTTTATTTGTACAACCCAGAATGGTGTACACAACGGTCGCCCCTCCCGATTTTTCTCACGGCACAAAGCCTGCGAGGTGGGTTTTGGTTGAGGGAGAATGGCTGCCCCAAAGTCACCCTGTCATCTTGCAGGCCTCTGGGAAAACTAGAACTCACTATCGCCCAGTTTCTAGCTCGGCACCTTCACATATTACACCAACCTTGGTTGACCCATGATTCCATCCTATTCTTCCTCTCTTAAAACAAGAATAAAACACCTAGAATAGCAATAGCAGTTAGACTTATATACCGCTTCATAGGGCTTTCAGCCCTCTCTAAGCGGTTTACAGAGTCAGCATATCGCCCCCAACAACCCGGGTCCTCATTTCACCCACCTCGGAAGGATGGAAGGCTGAGTCAACCTTGAGC